ACATTAACTGTTTTTCAGAAGTAGACCACCAGGCCTCTCGTTCCAGTCTATCTTAGTGTGTAAGCTCTGCTGAAATCTGTTCAGCATCATAGCAACATGCAAGCCTCCACTGATAGTCAGTGGTGGCTGTGCATGAGGTGCATTGGTTGGGAATTGAACCCAGTTCTCCCACAAGGAAGGTAAGCATTATACCATCGAGCCACCACTCCCCCCACACACATTATAACACTTTTATATTAATTAAGCTGGGAGACTTGTACATCATTGATCTGATGCTCATAATTCTGTTAGTAAATACCATAATATGCAATAAATGCTGCTGCAGTTGCCAGTCTAAGCATAGTTTAATGTAATAAACAAAAAGTAAGAGGAGGGTGCATTCACATTGGGAGAATACTTCTGCTTTCAAAACCTAGCCCTGAAACAGTTGTTTTAAAGTTTTAATTTGAGACTTTTAGATGTCTAAGTAAAAGTGGCTGGCCTAAACCTTTACATGTAGCCCATTCTGAGGTTCTTTAGTACTTATTCACCTGCAAATCTGATTCCTGATTTATATATTTTTCTTTTTGCTGTGATGATCTATAGCAATGCCTATGAAACATATAGCATTTGTATTTACATAAGTTCATCAACTTGTAATAGGTAATGACTATTAATGATAGTCACTATTAATGAGATTATTGGCATAGTGCCTAAGGTGTTTGACTGCTAACCAGAAGACTGGAGGTTCAAACCCACCAGCCACTCCTCAGAAGGAAGGTTGGGCAATCTATTTTTGTAGTCATACCACCTTGGAAATCCAAGGATGGGTCTCTATAAGTCGGGTCTGACTCAACAGCAATGTGTTTTTAATGACTATTAGATAATGGGAGCTCTGGTGGTGTGGTGCCTAAGGCATTTGACTGCTAACCATAAGGCTGGTGGTTCAAACCCACCAGCCACTCCGTGGAAGGAAGACTAGGCAATCTACTTCTGTAAAGATTTACTGTCTCAGAAACCAAATGGGGGTTGCTATGAGTTGGAATCGACTCGATGGCAGTGAGTTTTGTTTTGTTTTTTTATTAGGTTGTTTTTGATGTTAGGTGTTGTCAAGTATCTCTGACTCATAGCGACCCTATGCACAGCAGAACGAAACACTGCTCAATCTTGTGCCAAACTCACAATCCCTGCTATACCTGAGCCAATCGTTGCAGCCACTGTGTCAATCCATCTCACTGAGAGCTTTCCCCTTCTTCATTGACCCTCCACTTTACCAAGCATGATACCAACCAAGCAGGGAATGGTTACTTCTGACAACATGACCAAAGTAGGTGAGGTGAAGTCTGGCCATTCTCACTTCCAAGGAAGATTTGGATTGCACTTCCCCCAGGACAGATTTGTTAGTCATTTTAGCAGACCATGGTACTCTTAGCATTCTTCTCTAACAGCACAACTCAAAAGCATCAACTCTTCTTCAGTCTTCCTTATTCATTGTCCAGCTCTCACATACATAAGAGGTGATTGAAAATACCATGGCTTGGGTTAGGTGCACCTTAGTCTTCAAGGAGACATCTTGGCTCTTCATCACTTGAAAGAGGTCTTTTGCAGCAAATTTGCTCAATGGAATATGTCATCTGATGTCTTGACTGGTGCTTCCATTCATGTTGATTGTAGAGCCAAGTAATATGAAATCCTTGACAACTTCAATCTTTCCTCCATCTACCATGAAGCTGTTTGTTAGACCAGTTGTGAGGATTTTTGTTTTCTTTATATTGAGGTGTAATCCATACTGCAGACT